AGAACCTTGTCTTGGGTTCCTTGAAAGAGGAAGAAGAAGGCAAGATATAAATGCAACGTCATCATAGTAATAAAGCTGTGCAAGCCAGGTCAATCGCTGTCTTCCTACTCCACTCTCCAGCTAATTCACAGCTAAGCCTCAGTTCATTAACACCATGGGTGGTGGCAGGGTAGCTTAGTGTGATGTCTGAACCTTGCCCAAGTCCAGGCATAACTGGCTTGTATCACTGACTCTGAGTCTGAAGGGGAGGCTGTAGAGTCAGGCCCAGCTGTGGGGAGACAGACACCTGAGAACTCAGTTCAAACAGGCCCCCCACTAGCAGGTGAGCTGGGAGGGTGTTGAACTCAGCACGCTGATGTGGCCTATCTTCCACAGCTGGGAGACCTGACCTTTGTGGAGGCCCTTGTTTCTCCACCAGGGTGTCTTCTGTGTGAGCGCGGTGGGAGGTTCTCTGCAGGGGAGATTGTTTTGGGGGTGCCTCCTTTGGTGTGTGGTCAGCTAAAGCAGGTGAGGCAAAGGCACAGCAAGTTTCCCTGCAGGAACTGAATGCTGATAGTCATATTTATCAGCCACTCCCTTGTATTGAATCCAGAACAGCCTGCAATAGATTTCACTGGAAAAAACCACAATGATAACCTGGAAGGCTTCTTGCTTTCTCTGGAACTGAGAATTTATCGAGCCTGGTCCTACGTGCCAAAATCAGGGATTGGTGGGTCTTTTGTTGTGCTCTGCGGCCAACAGATTCTTGTGTAGGAGCTTCATTATGATCTGTTCAATATTGACCTTTATTGTAGCCGTAAAGGCTTATAGCTAATTACCTGAATTCCTGCAATAAAATATTTTATTGGACTTTCTGCCTTGGCTCTGGGAAGTCAGCTTCCGACACCCAGTGTGGCATTTCCACTGTGGGTTTATTTTTGGCAGATAAGCCCCCGGAGAACATACGGCTTGAGGCAAGATTGTTTGCTGTAGCTTGTTCTCGGAGAGGCTTGTCCTGATGTTCAAACCCAGCAGTCACTTCAGTGCAGGTTGATTAAAACTGCCAGCCACTTGCAAGCTCGCTTAGCATCTCTGCCATTCACCTTCCTCTGCTGCTGTCAGTGTCCGTCCAACACTGCAGTGATGCTTGGCAATATCCCTATTACCTTGGTAGATCTCTTTTTAAGTTCTTAAACAATGCACAAAAAGGCTCTGGATTTCAGCCTATGGTACTGCACAAGAATGCAAGTGTGTGTGGCTGCAGGACCACAGGAGAAGCACATTTTCCTATTTTGTGCACATCATTCACAGAGTGTTAAATGGGAAAGCAGCAATAACCCCCAAATATCCCTGCACCCACAGCAAAGGCTCCATCCCTTTTGGGGTTTGGGGCCAAGGCAAACGCCAAAGTGGAGGGGAGGTTTATGAGTTGGCAGCTCAGCATGCTATGAGAGGGGCAACTTGACCAGGGGCATTTCTTGTTGTGCAGAGGGCAAATCAATCTATTTGGGTCCTAAACTAGCTGCTGTCCTAGTGGTAAAAATTAGGAACGTGAACGGTGGTCCTGCAAAAGTGTGCACCTGTGAAGGACCCACGGGGGCTCAGGGATACGGCTTCAATTAGCATACATTTGAAGGACTCAAAAAAATACCAGTCCTGTTTGTGCAAATTTGCAGGAAGGGCTGGAAAAAATGTTGCCAACTGCTCAGAAAATGGGTAGCGATGGCGGGGGCACGTTCGCCTCTGTATGGAATAGAAGCTGTGAGAGTTTGTGCGCTGTGCTCCGTCCATTTAACAGCCTCTTTGCTGCACAGGGGTCTTAATGGATGTGGCTGAGCCGCTGCAGCTAGCATGTTCCAGCTGCCATCTACGGGCCAGTTCAGATGGAGCTTTAGGTTCTGATCCAGGTCCATGTGCGACGCTGCTGTCTTGGGTAGCAGAACTTGAGGTCCTGATCCAGCTTTATTTGAATGGTGGCTACACACACGCGATCCTTCATGTGTAGGCCAAAATCATGCAGCCGATTCTCCCAGAGGCAAATCCAGGAATCCATCATGGAACGCTGCCCTTTATGCATGTGCAAGCCCCATTGGGATGGCAGGCCAGCCATAGGGCCAGAATTGTCCAGAGTCAAAGCTGACCCATAGATGTCACCCAAATCAGTCCCAAGAGGCCATGCCTTATGAAAGCAAAGCAGACCGGGGTGTAAGAGGGTCTCCCTGCCTCCATAAGAACGGGGATGCCAGACAGAAAGGGGGATCACTGGCTGCCCCCTGAACAGATGGGCCCTGAAGGTACCACAGAGTTTTCCCACTCACGCAGCAAGACTTGTTCAAGGAGCAGGGCAGGGTTTAGACTGTCCTGAGAATCTTGTAAGAGGAAAGATACATTGGGGGGAAAGATAGGAAGAAATCCATCAGAAAGGATCCTGGGGCTCAAGCTTACAGGCCAAAAAATAGCTGTAATTTAAAAACTGCACAAATTTGCATGTGGTGATTTACATATATACATAGTTAGAAATAATTACTATGATTTAAAATTTATAGAAGGTTGTTTAATTAGCCTCTTGCTTGTTTCAGGATTATTGCCTGCTCCCAAAATGAAGGAAGCTGCCAAAATCTGCTGCTTCTTCATGATGTCCCAATTCTATTGCCTTGAGCACGAAAAATCTCTCTCTCTCTCTCTCTCTCTCTCTCTCTCTCTCTCTCTCTCTCTCTGTGTGTGTGTGTGTGTGTGTGTGTGTGTGTGTGTGTGTTTTAAAGGACCCCATCTCCAAAGGAAGGAAACCCCTATTTAAAAGGAGGGGATTATGGACAGGGGAGAAAAAGGCACTTGATTTCGCGGGGGGGGGGGGCTCAAACAGAAAGAGTGAAGGAGGAAAAAGCCAGCTAGCTCAGGGGGATGAGATGCCACGGAGAGCACCAGGGCCCCTGCATCTTTATTTCAGCAAATGCCATTTCTCTCCAGTTACATGAAAAGCATCTTCTTTAAAATAACTTCCACTACAGCTGATGCCTGTCCATAAAAGCTTTTCACACTTGCTGAAATTTGTTTGTTTGTTTTTCGATTTATATCCTGCCTTTTTCCTACAAAGGGCTCAAGGCAGCTTACATCATTCTCCTCCTCCATCTTATCCCCCCAACAACAACCCTGTGAGGTAGGCTGGGCTGAGAGTCTGTGACTGGCCCAAAGTCACCCAGTTGACTCCATGGCTGAGGGGGGACTAGAACCCAGATCATCTGAGTCCCAGTCCCAGGCTCTTAACCACTGCACCACACTGGCTCTCAGTGTGAAATGTGTGACCCTTTAAGGCGCCACGAGGCAGTGTGGCATTTGAATGCAAAACAGCAAGAGGTTCTGCCTCTCGCATCCATTGCCTTTCTCTAGCCTAGCAGAGTGAGGCCTCCAGGCTCACCCCAGGAAGACGACTGCAGGCTGAAGGAGCTCCGGACCCACTTGGGCTTGCCAGGAAGCCATATTGTGCTCCAGACATTCCTGCTCATCCAACCCTCATTCCTGCTCATCCAGCCCTCATTTGCAAACAAGCCCACTTCTGTTTTCCCCCGAGGAAAGGGCCCAGCTTGGACAAAGCAACAGATGGGGAAGGCCCCTGGCTCTTACGGGATGTTAGCTGATATGTCTGATCCTCCTCTGGTCAGGGGCCTATGGCTTGCAAGACACAAGGACCGGTTCCCAGTCGCAACTGGCTGGGTAGGTTGACACAAAGTCAATGCACTCGCTGCAAGGCAGGTCGCAACGGTGCTGTTAAGCCGTTGTGGATGCTGGGTTGAATGAAAATAATAAGCAGACTGTGAAAGGAAAGGTGGGGGTCCAGTTTAAAAGGCTGATGCCTTCAAGCTACACTCCCTGTTGTTCTGCCAGTGGAGGGAATCCTCAGGTCCCCCAGTAACTGCCTGGCTACTGAGTTCAGAGGAAGAAGCAGGCTTACATTAAGGAAGATGATAATGCATGGTACGCTGCCTGGGAAGGCCTCTGCAATTATAGGCAGCCCATGTGTAAATCAGTAAATAATAAAGATTATGGGGTGATTCTAAACATCTGGGGCACTGTTCAAGCCACCCACCAGTGCCCACGCCTATGTAAGCCACATTGCAACACTGCCTACGGATGGAAGGCTAATGGGGCAGTGGTCCTCTCAGAGATTTTGGGGTTCTGAGCTAAAGCTTGGGGGCTCCATCCTTAGTGACCATCCCCTTACACCACCTCTCAGCAAAGCAGTGGATCAATTCCCTGGTGAATTGATTATTAGAATCAATTCACCATTTGATTAGAATTGGCAGAGTTAGGCCATTTGATTAGAATCTCCATTTGATCTTCATGGAAATGAGTCTAGAAATCCTTTGCAAAAATCACTCCAGAAGGAGGTTTGTCAGGGTGCTGAGAACCCATCAGAGGCTTGCACCTCCTGCGTTCCAAATTGACTCAGGGCAATACCCTGCAGGAGGTTTAGAGCACGTTTTAATCTCTTTGGTGCCATTAATGCAAACACGTGTGATGATGCTTAATGTGCAGGAGTAAAGCAACGGAGGGACTGAAGATTGTGGTCAATAAAAGGGAAATTGCTCTGAGCCTTGTGTGTGGCCTCGTTGAGCCTTAAAAAAGTGGCTCATGGGTGTCTCAGGATGAGTCCCCAGTTTCACGGGGACCTGGGCAAACTTAGCACTCTCTGGGGGACCCCTATTTAGTCAGTTGTCTTGTGTGGTGGCAGCAGTAGCAATTGAATCACTGCACCAAAGCACAAGGAAGCTGGTTCTAGCCACAATTTCAATTCTTGACAAGTCATGCCACTCTGGGGCATTGTAGAAATCAAACATGAATTCATTTCACTTCATTCCTGTACCATCCAGTAGCTGGGCACTTTGCAATAATTTCTAGAATACAATAAAGGACAATAGCAATGCAGATGCAACAAAAACATCATAAAAATTTACTTCAAGGTGGAGAGAATTTTACATCCGTGTTGTGAGGGACAGAATCTTATTCCAGCCAGTGGACTGATGAGGTTATTCTTCCCCTTTCCTTTACCAGACATCCAGATAAGAACCTGCCCCTTCTGTTTCTTGTGCTTCTTCTACTTCTTCTGCTTTTTGATTTCCTCTGCATGCTTTTGTGTTCCTGATAACTCCGAGGCACGAGTTGTGGAGCAGTGAGTCCGCCTGGCTGGGTGCCAGCATCCACAAGCAGCTCCTTCAGCCTTTCTACCACCCCTGGACATGAGCCCAGAGACACACCTAACAAAATCCAGGTGTGGTTGCCATGAGCTAACCTGGCATAGGCGGGACAAGGCTGCCATTAAAACAACAGCCGCCTAGAGGCACGGAGATCGGCTCACACTTTCCCTTTGCCACACTTTGGAGACTGAACGCATTAGAGGACACAGCAGAAATTTAGGTAATGGGGGGAAACGTTTCTCTTTCTTTTTGCTTGTCAATTTGTTTTCTCCCTTTCTTCACTGATGATTGCTACGTTTTCTAGCATTGCCTATCTAACCAAAATTGCACAATTTCTTTTCCAGTATGATATGCAATACTTTCTGATGAGTTGGAATATAAACTGCCAGGTCCCTTTTGTGGAAAGTGTGTTGTATGGGGAGGGAAGCCTGAAACTATCTCCACAGGAGATGGTTTAGCTCCAGAAATCTAGAATATTATGCTTTAAAAAAAAAACCCTGCCAACTTCTGGAGCACTCAGTTTTCTCACTGTATGTGCCTCATGCATGAAAATCCTATTCAAGAGTCAACTGGACTCTTAGACTAAGTCCTTCTTGAATATGCAGGTGTTGTTGACATAGGGATGAAGGCTGGAGAGAATTGTACTTGCTTTGTGGAACATCTGGATAACATGGGCTGATGTGCAGAGAAACAGTTACTGGGGTTCTGTTTCTGGATTGAATATGTGAGAATCCTGCTTACTCTCATGGTGAACCCTGAAGTCCATCCTACCTCTCAAAAGCATGGGGCAACTATGCATGGAGGGTGGAATTATTTTGCCACCCCGTCTGCACTTGGTCTTTTTTTTTTTTTTTAATGGGACATCCACCATCGGCCACTCCTATGGTGCTTTCCCGCCAACATTTTCACAAGAGCAGAAGAATAACAAAAAGTCCACAGCAACTCCTTAGAGGTGCTTTCCTGTCTTTTATGAATGGCAGGGTTTTGATGTGAGCAGAGACCATATCGGGGCACTGAACCAGCCAGTTAGCCTACCTTCACTCTCAGCTTTGTGATGGTGCTCTATTTAAAAGTATCACTTTAAGAGACCTTCTGGGTCACTGTCATTGGCCATCTTGTGAGCATGGTGGTGCCTGGGAACATTTTTGCAGGCTTAACCCTGTTACTGTGATTGTAAGGAACAATTTTGCTCATGCTAGGCAGGGTGGGAGGAGCGGCAGAGGCAATTTTGAGCTCCCTGCCCTGCATTCCACTTTATGGGCTGTTCTGTCCGTGTAGCTGGAGCATTTCAGAGGGAGAGTGAAGGAGGCTGGAGTTGCTCCAAGATAGCTCACATCCTGACCCGCCTCTCCTTCTATCTCTGCCCGATAAAACACCTCCTTTCCTCACTTTCTGAGATCACATTCCCAACTTCACAGGGACAGCAGCTGCAGTACTATAAGGGCTGGTACCTTAATTCCCAGCTCCAAGGTTGGAGCACTGTCTCCAAACTTGGAGCTGGGACTCTGAAGCATCCTACAGCCCCTTAAATAAATGCCTCATCTAGAAGCATCTGGGGCAGTTTGAGACAAGACATCCTTGAGTCTTTGCCATGCCCTTTTTATTTATTTTTATCTTTATTGTTTATTTCTTATGTTTGTATACTGCCCCATAACCCAGGGGCTCTCTGGGCGGTTTACAATAAAATACAATAAAACCAACAATATATCAATAGAACAAAATAGTTAACACAATCTAACAATTTAAACAATTTAAAACAGCACAGAAATTTGGCAGTTAATGGCACAGAAAAGTAAAAGCGAGGTAGGAGGCAACGAAAGATAAACGCCATGTTAAAAAAACAATTTAGCCACCATAGTACCTGGAAAATAAAAAGGCCTTCATCCTTCCAGATGCTGAAACAATGCAGGTGGCCCTGGAAATATCGGCTAGAATATCAGCAGTTAGAACCAGGCTCTAGTGTAAGTTGCCCAGAGCGCCTTTCTGGCTACAGGTGCTGCTGCTGCAGTGAGTGGCTGAGAGCAGCATCACTGGCAGTGGTGTTGGAAGGAAACTGCTGGGAGGGAAAAGCAGCTGCAGCAATGGTCCTGGCTCTCCCCTACCACTATGAAGAATTCAAGGACAAGACGGAACCACGCGGTTCATCTAGCTGGGAAAAAGTGACCCCTGGAACCCTCAAGCAGGGGTGGGCCAATTCAGAGGGTCTGAGGAACAATTTGCCATTCCCAGAACCTCCCCTGCTGCCAAAAGTCAGCGGCAATTCAGTAGTGGCAGCTTGCGGGGCGGGGGAGGCCACAAAAAGTCCTGTGGAAATGCATTCAAGTCATGGGGCACATGTTGCCCAGTTCAGCCTAAATCATTTCAGATGTGTGATCAGCCTTTGCTGAAAAAAGCCCAGTGAAGAGACTTCTTCAGGCTGCTGTTAGCTGATGCACTGGTAGAGTCTAAATTCTTCCTGATAGCCTACAGCCCCCTGCTTGTGTTTAAATTATCCTGTCTTTAGTGGATAGGGTGAACCATCTCTTCTAGGATGCAATGATTCAAAAACAGTCTTCTGGAATAAAGTCAATTTACTTAGTGATTTTAATCTATTCAGCAGCATAATAATATTAAAATAAATTAAAATATTGCATGCAACATGACATCAAATTTATCACTACAAGCCCTAATGCTAAAGTCCATTCCACCCATAAAGAAAGTGAACCTTTATGTAGGCTTATGATTGCATATGACTTAGCCTGTTGCACATATAGGAGTAAGTAGGGACATTGAATATCAAAGTCTGGACAGTGGATGACAGCCAAGAACACAGTTAAAAGGCCACTGGTGTCTTTTGGATATGGCCCAGTAGGTTGGATGCAATATTTGTTCTAATCCAACATCAGTTCTTATCTGTGGTTCTTTCCCCTTGAAATCTGAGCTGCAAAGGCAAACAGGCCTATTTCCTGATCCTAGAGGTAATATGGAAGGGAAGGTCGATCACCCATTACGTGTGCCTTACTCATCCACGGGCTCCTTTGTGGTTCATCTGGATTAAGAGGGTGTGCTGGTAAGATCGAGGGATACGGTTGCCCTGGTTATCGAGGCTGTTTGTTTTGACTGAAGTAATAATGAGCCACGTTATCACCGACATGGTCACCTCCCCTGACATGGTGCTTGTTCTTTCTCCCTCTCTGCACGCATAAAGAGGGCCAGGAAATGAGGCAGCCGCCTCAGGGCACTGATTTTAGTGTCGTGAAAACTCAGAGGCCTGTTAGTTATGCCATCCTGTGCTCAGGATGGCATCCTGAATAATAGGCAGGAAAACTCCCAAGTAGTGCCAAGCCAGCATAAATGGCTGAAGAATGCCAGGGGTTATAGGATATTTATCCCCTTTACCTGTATCTAGGATTGCTCTGCAACTTGTTTGGGGGGTGTATGGAAAAGCAGCCTAGACAGCAAAATGGTTTAAGCCAGCCCTGTGTGAAGGAAGGACAAGCTTCGAGATCTAGGCCGGTAGTAGTATTCTTCTTTATAGCACAAGCATTGTTCCGTCTCTTCCTATTTTTAGAGAACACCTGCCCTTTAAAATTTTTACAAAGTTGCGGGGTGAGTGTTTTGGCTTTCAGCTTTCCCCTTCCTTTAGTTTCTGTCCCTCCCCCTCCCTCACTGTCTCTATATCAGATTTGAGAGCCTACAGGCAAGGCTTGTTCCCTTTTAAGTTTTAATATGAACAGTGATTACCTTTTAGATAGCTGTAGAAATCAGATTATTACCTCAGGAACTCTTAATTTGAAATTGCTACCAACCTTAGTGTATATATTCCTTAGCATCTGCAGCAGTTGTCCTGACAAACATCTCCCATGTTTGAACCAAAGTTTTGTCCCAGCTTTCTTTAGAGTGTTTATTTTCAAAAAATAAAAAATGTGCACACAGCCACACCTTCCAGTCTTCAGCAGAGCAGGGTTCTTCTCAGTGCCCAACCTTGTCTCCCCACCAGTGACACTCCATATAGGACTTAAATGGGCTAAATGCCTCCTGTCAGACGATCCTCACCAAGCCACCCTGGATTTGCAAGAGGGACTCAGTCCCCATGCCCTGATCATCCCACCCCAGCTGGGGCAATGAAGGCTTGGGGAAAGCCGCTGCATTGGTGGCATGCTGGCATTGTGTGTCCTCTAATTGGAGCAGAAATGCCGAGGGCAGCACCCCCTGGCCTTGGTTTTCTTTAGGGCTGAGCTTTATTTGCAAGATACAGAGAGAGTGTAAGTGGAAGCTAAGAGGCTCTCCTACAGCCCTACCCCTACCCCAGCCTTATGGAGATGTATCGGGCTGTAATTGCCACCGTCTCCACCCAGCATAGCCAATGGCCTGTTGGACCATGAAAATGGGAGTTCATTGAGGTGGAAGATGGTGGTCATGCCCATTTCAGTTCCCCAAAGAGAGATTCTATACCCTTGACATACCTTCACCTGAAATTAGTTCTTTCTCTGCCTGGCTCTCTAGGGAAGTGATGGGTTCTCTCTTGGTCAAGGTGTTTAAGCAGACGTTGAATGTCCATCTCTCAGTGATGCCGTGGTGGTCTCCTGTGTCTTGGGCTTGGACAAGAGGATTTCCAAGGTCTCCTTTAAGTAACAGCTTGCTCCAAATCAGGGAACATCAACCATCCATCCCGGGCTATTAATCAGAAATCTACCTGGCTAAAGATCGGACATCCAACAGCTAACAAGTATTTCATGTACACAAGTTAGGGAGGGGGCTGAAAGGCCCTCTCCAGTTGCCAGCACCCAGGCCAGTCCCCCCATTTTTCAGGCGGAGGAGCCCATACCAGATGATGGAGCAGGAAGAGTGCTGCTTGCCAGGAAGGCCAATGCTGCCCCCATCAGCTCTGGTGGTGTCCAGCCACTGGCACTCAGCACAGCAAGAGGGTGGGATCAAGAGGCACGGCTCCCTGGAGCAACCGATGGGGTTCTCGGTGCATCCCCAGCCGCCACCACTGCTTCTCACCGTGGGTGGCCTGCCTACCTACCTACCTACCTACTTACTGGGTTGCCTGACTGCTCTCTCATTGGTGTGGCCAGCCAGCTTAGATGGGCACTTGCTTGTTCCCACCTTGTGCCCCAACCCTGGGGCTCCCATGGGAGTTCAGCTGACCTCAGTTTGGCCAAGGAGGAGAGGCAGCTGGCTTAATTAGCCGAGCAAGTGAGGGTGGCTGGTCAAGCAGGGAGGCTGGCCGGCCAAGGATGTGGGTGGCAGTGGCAGGCCTGCCAGAACCTGATGGAGAAAACCAAAATAGCCTGCCACCTACCAAAACAGGAGCAGCAACTGGAGGTTGCCTGCACACGTAATGCCAATTATTGGTATAGCGGGTGGAGGCGCATGATGGACTCGGATTGAAAAGGACAAGTTCAAAAAATTTGAGAATCTCCCCACCACCACCACCACCACCGGGCACTGTCTAGCCTATTTAGCACTATATGAAACACCAGGGAACCTCCCGAGTAAAAGGAAAGAACAGTCCAATGGTTAGTAGAGATGAAAAGTCATTGAAAGGCATTGACCTGGTTGCCATGATCATTTGCCGCCATGGTGGCTTAAATAACCCTCCGTGGTCTGCACCTGCAGGCATCCGTAACCCAGCCCCTGTTTCTAGGTTGTCCTGTTGTCCAAACCCAGCATGGGTGGGTTGAAGGCATGGCGAACAAGCCACTCAGAGCCCTAAAAGAGCCTAGCAGCCCATCTTCTCCAGGTCCAGAGGACATGCAAGCCGGGCATGAGACACAGCATGGGTGTCTGTGGGTGCCCAGCAGACACTGCGAGCCACAGCCGCTTATTTCAGCCACAGCGGCCGAAAATGATCATGCAAACCCGCCCACTGTGCAAGTCTCCTTTTGAGGGAAAGGAGGCCTAGAAGGAGTAGTCTGTTCATGTCTGATGCTTGTATCATTCCTGGGGCATAACGTTCTGCCTCTTTTCCAAGGCTTTGCACCCACCTGTCCCATCAGCCTTCAGGGCACTTAGTCAGCACTTTCTAGACATGACGTGTGGCACCAGCGGCAGGCTTTAGCTTCTCCTCCCTAAGCTCGAGCTATAAATTCAGCCTAATGTTCTTATGTCTTCTTCTAAAAGGCACACTCCAGTTGCTGATAAAAACTTTCAAGCAGCTTATGCAGACTTGCATAAAATTACTTTGAGGGTATGACAGAGATCAACAGGGCAAGTGTGAAAACCAAGAAATAGATGCTCTGGAAAAGATGGTTGCTGTTCTGACCACCTGTGCCTGCTTTCCTGTCTCTGCTGTGGGTACATGTATCAATGTGATTGCCATTTTTATCTAGATTTTCTTTTGCTGTCATTTCTTCTTTAGCTTGCTCCTCCTGCTCTGTGTCTATATTAAAGCCCTCCTCTGTCCTCTTCTTGTGTGCTCTGAAGTAGCTGCTGACGGTCTGTTTGTACCAAGGGCAATCTTGATTTCTCTAGCCCATGATAAGCCACATATTTACTCTTTCAGGGCAGATGTTGGCAATGCCTTTTCAGAAATGTTATTGTGAAAAACTAGAGCAGGCATGCTTTGGGTTTTAGTTCCCTTTCCCAGGTCTCAAAAACTTAACCCTCTAAGTGCTGAAGGAAGCAATGCATCTTGATCCTGCATGCAGTTCTGTGTCTGTCCATGCAAAGTGCTTGCCTTCCCTGCTATCCACTTTCGTGGATACTTAATGCTGCCCAATATCATTGAGGTGCAACCATTCCCTGAACTACAGCAAGGTCCATTGTGAAATTAAATGTTTCTAAGGGTTTAAAAAAATTCTGGTAATCTTACCTGCTAAATCCTTGATCAGGCAATAAGGGTTCACTACATCTGGATTTCATTTCTGAATGCTGGGAGGGTATGTCATAAAATCCTCACCTCCTTGCTGGTCTTCCATCTAGAGAACTCCTCTTTTAGATATAACATCCCAGTACTGCAACAAGAGATTTCCTCCTTAGAGCTGTACTTTCGCTCTGAAGTAGATACCACCTGAACTAGGTCTCACATTTAACACGCACCTCTTTCACAAAAAGCACATGGCAAGTATGAATGGAGTAGGGAGGCGGGCAAGTATCAGGAGCATGGGAGGTGGAGAAGGGGGGGGGTTAACCCTTTTCCTTCCCTCCGCTATTTGCTGTGGGAGGATGTGGCGGGTTTTGTCCTTAATAGTTAAAAGCACATGTTTCCCCTCCTTCCTTGTGCAGAGGCTCCCGCTAATGCACCTGTGATCGGACCGTTCATAATCATGTCCCCTCTGCCTTTAAGGTGCCAGTTCCATGGCTCTTGTCCTTGGATGAGGAAGGCCTCAGAAGACCAAGAAGATAAATTGTCCCGGAAGACTTAATAGCTGAAGGATGTCAAAAGTCATCCCAAACCACATTGTACGTGTTGGACAGACAATATGTGTCTCCTCCCAAGAAGAACATGCTTGTTTGCAACACCCTGCTGGATGCTTGTCCAGTCACACGTTGCCAGCGCAGTATTTGTATTACTCAGTGCAAGGCTGGGACAGACAGAGCGCAATGGCCCAAGCCAAAGGATGTTCACTGCCCAGCTCAGAACTCTATGCCCCTTGTAAACCTGTGACAGAGGTCATGCCTGTGGCACCCCCAGACCTGCAAGAGGCACCGACAGAGGCAAGGCAGGGCACCTGCTCAGTGTCTCCTACTTTGGATGTATCCATTGAGGACTTGAACCGCCTGATCTTGGAAATAGACCCAACTTTCCAGCCTCTCCAGCTGAAACCAGCTCACACACAGAGTCCTGTCCAAACTATTCCACCCAGCGACCCAGCAGTGCCACAAAAGAAGGAAGCAGACTCACCAGGTAAGGTGGGAAATTCGCCAGGTTGGGGGATCTTACCTTCAGAGTCCATTAGATGGTTCTTCGCTTGAGCAGTTTTGCATGCAGATGTTTCTGAAAATTACTCTTTTCAGCAGAATCCTTGAAAACTGCCCAAAACACCTGGAGGACGCAAGGATGCCTACCCCGAGGTGTGCAGAGTCTCAGTAATTTCAATCACACTTTCACAGATTATCAAACCACAATGTACCTGAGTTGCAATGTGCAAACAAACCAGACATGGGTACAAGCCATGATTTAAATCTGTTTTACAGTCCTGTCTGTTTTGGGCACAATAAATCTTAATCCTGGTCTGCTTTGGATGTAATGCTAAACTACACTGGTTTGTTTGCCTAACTGTGGAAAGGAGTTTGTGGACACTCTTGTTTAATAAGCCGAGATTTCTGGCTGGAAGGGATGCATTAACCCAGCCAGCATGTGGGAAGGGCTATGTGTCCGCAAGGCTTGAGAAAGCAGTCATGAAAGGTGGAGAAGGTGGTTGGCTCAGGAGAAGCCTGAGCCAACCAAGATGCAAGCTCTTGACACTGTGCCACACTCTTGCACATGCACATCTCTGAGGCAAGTCCAATTAAAATCTACTGGGACTAACTTCCAAGGAAATGCCTCTGTATGCAAGTATAAACCTATGGACAGTGGCCATGATGGACAAATGGAACCTCAGACATGCAAGAGATCTCTCCCCCTTTGCATTCTAGAAGCTGGAGACAAACAACAGAGGCCATCAGTATGGTAGGGTGTTGAGTATTTTGGACAAAGACTGGAGAGACCCAGGTCCAGTCCAATCAGGCACAAAATCCTTGGGTCTCTCAGCCTAGCTACTTGTCTGATGAGCTGGTAAGCCTGTGTCTCGGCTGTGCTACTTTCCACTGCAGGTGTGGACTTGCATTATTCCATGCTCCACCAACCAGACGTTTATGTATTCCACCAGTGTCCCAAGAGGCAAGCCTCCACCTGCAGTCTGAAGTGGTACAGTCCAGGCTCAGGATTACCGGCTCATTTTCTGTCTGTGACAATGAAGCTCATGACTGACTCGACTTGTTCCAGAATGTCCTGTCGTTTGCTTTGTTTTGCTTCTGCAGGGGGTGGGTGGAGGGATGCCTTTAAGTATGAACAGCAAACGCTGGTTCCCTTTAACACACATGATTGATTTGTCTGCTAATGGGCAATGTGTCAATTACATATAACATTTTGGGTGCTTTCTCCATAGTCTTGGATGAGCCCGAGGGCCTGTTCAGACAGGTGTGCTTACTCATTCTCCAAACTCAACTCTGTCTCAGAGGTGTTCCATGTGAAAACTGCCAGAGGCAACAAAGAATTAATTGTCATTCCCTCAACCCACAACCTGCCATAGATTTATCTTTGAACTGTAGTAACCTGACATGTCAGGAAACACAAAATAAATTGCAGCTTCTATAACCTCCAGTCTTATTGAAAATGGGAATGAAGTTGATACTATCTCAGCCCACATCACAAGATTTCTTGGATGTTCTCTTAAAATGTACTTGGCAATGCCCAGGAAATCCAGAGAATCCAAAGGCATTGAATATTTCATCAGAGAATCACAGGGCCTGATCAAGACTGAGTCATACTGAACTTCTATCAGTGAAATCAGTGGGGCACAAGTTAGTTCTGACTCTTCCTAAGCCAGCGAGAGTCAAATACACACAGCAACCTTCTTCTTTTCTTTTTCATTTATGAAAGTGGCATCTGTAAGTTAATTTTTTATTCTGCAAAGAAGTATTTCCTTTTATCTGCCTTGAATGGAAATGGGAGAAAATTGCAGTTGATTTGTATTTTGTTAAGAATGGACAAAATTCACACTTTTCTAATCAATATGCAAACCGGAATTCAGTTATCCTTTTGAATTCATGCTTCTCCAAATGTTGCAATATAGTCTATCTTTGTGCAAAAACACATAAAAATGTCTGCAAAAACTATGTATATTAGGCAGGCTTGCATACAAAAATGTGTACATTGGCAACTGCCTGCAAAAAAAAAATAAAATTGCCTATATTAGGGGAAATGTGCACAAAATGAATACAAGTCACACAGACTTCTTTATTTAGTCTCAAACTGATGTAAAAATGAGATCAAATAAACCTGATGAGAAAACTGAGAAATTGAGAGAAAACCAAAACTGACAGGTTCATTCATCTCTAGTCTTGAACCTGGAACCAATCAGCTTCAACAAATGACTCTGACTCTTTGTACTGTGCAAGAAAGATGAATTTTCCTCTGCTTACTCACTTCATAGGGCTGGATCAGATTTAGTCATATTTAGACTTGCTTACCCACCTTTAGTCTTGTTTTTGCTGAACAAAAAAACCCTAAATGCTCTAGCCAAGTCTCATGAAGTGAGATTCTCATTTCTCTTGAGCATTGTATCTGCCCGTTTCTTCTAGATTGCCTGGAAGGCTGACCTTCATAAGTGAAGCTGAAGTCTTCATTAAAGAACCTTGGCCAGATCCTACTTCCTGCTCGTCTTTCTTTCTCCAGAACAAGAATAGCAAATGGGAGGGAGTGTTGGTCTCTACAGGCCAAAGGTGCATAGGACATTTCTTGGGCTCCCTTCCCCTGCCTGGTGGATGCAGATGAGCTGACGGCTACCATTTCTGGTTGGCTGACAAAGACACTACCGGACGCACAGCACATCCTGCCACTCCTTCCAAAATCAAAATCCTCCATCGTGGCTGTTTCCGTCTGCCTTTTCCCTGTCTGCCTTTTCCAGGTAAAATTGGTTTCAGCCTCCACTCTGGAAGGCAGCCATAATGCTCTTTCCACATGTTTGGACCAGCCACCCATTTCGGCCAACTCATCCCCACCAGTGATGCATCATGTCAGAGCTTTGAAGCAAGGAAGAGACACATTACATAAGACGGCAGCATGACTCACAGCACCGTATTAGATGTAAAGGGCAGGGTGCATCTCATGAGTTGCTGGCTTGTCCTGCAAATTATATGCAAGTAAACCATACACATTCACATCTTGGTGTGTGCTATGGGGGGAAAAGCAATTTATTTATGTGCATACCATTCCTAATTGGGAATCAATCCCAAATACAGAGAAAGTTGCATGAAGCAGACCAGCTGTCATTGAGCAAAGGTTTTGCAAGCGTTGCCAGTCAATGTGGCTTTTCATAGAAAGGTGCCTTGGGTGTAGAACACACCCTAAGCCAGACTGAGGGGCTGAATGTGGGCTGAATGTAGGTTGTTGTTGAATCATGGGTTGTTGATGGAACATGGGCTATCAAGTTCTGAACCCAACCAATATAGTGAACCATCCAGAATCCACATGCTAACTGCAAATCACAGGTTCTCTTCAAGCCATGCCTTGTTAGTATGGCTGGGTTCAGACAACACAATAAGGCACATTTCAGCAATAGCCTCCCTGTAATGTCCCTGTGCCACATGTTTGGACCAGCCACTCATTTTGGCCTATTGATCTCCATCCATGAGGCATCATGTCAAAGCTTTAAAACAAGGAAAAGACTCATTACATATGAGGGCAGCGTGACTCACAGCACCACGTTAGATGCTGCACTTTGTACTTACAGAGTACAAAAAGCATGTCCGTGCATCACTCAGCCCTTGATCATCTGGGGAAGTTTTAACTCAATATTGCCTGGCTGGCAGCAACTGTCTGGGGGTTCAGGCAGGGCTCTTGCCCATCCCTACCAGGAGATGCTGGTGCTGAACCTTGGACCACCTTTGTAGAAAGCATGTGCCCTTTCACTTAAGTGTGGCCCTTCTGAATCATGGCTGCAGAGTGAAAATAGAAGAAAATAGAATGGGTTGCATTTTCACATGTTTAGACTGGAGATGTGGATACCTGGCAGGAACCAAATGTCCGGAAAGAATTTCCCCTCCTGCTCTCCCTGCAGCCCACCTTTAAATAACATTCCTAAGGGAAAAAGTGGAAACTTGCAGGGAAAATGAGAAATAACCATTTCCATCTATAGAGGTGTGGTCATGCCAAGAGAGGTCCATCATGAATTTTGGAGCCAAAAATGCAGCAAAGATTTGGTGGATTATTAAGTAGATACTGTAGATGTGGAATTGACCTAGTGGTGGAGATTGTGAGCAGGAAGCCAGTAGTTCACATCTTGGGTCGTGAACTTAGATGGCACTGGAGTAAAGTGCATTTTATACACAACTGTGAGCAAAGTTTACAATATTTTTTCTGAACTCTACAGTCTTGTAGAATGGGGTGCTTAACACTTTCTGCTTTGATCCAAAACCGCTTCCCCAAGCCTCTCTTCAACCGCAGCCACACAGATGGTCAGAGCAAACACCAGAAAAACTAGTTTGGAGGAGTTAAGGATGATTATTATTAAAAGAGCAGCTAGGACCTTAATATACTATGGCCAAAAGCAGCTGCTCTTCCCTTGGAGTCATTCCCTGTTCATAGAATTCCAGATGTGAGAAGAACACAGCACATCTGGAACCCCATTGAGGGAAAGCTGCTTGGTAGCTCTTTTGAGCACAAGAACAGACAGCTGGAGAAAGGATATGGGTACCTATTCTACTCTACCAATCACAACTGAGTTAGGCTGATTTTTTTTAAAAAAATGTAGATACCATCTAGTTTATTCCTTAAAATGCCTCTATTCTTTCAGTTTTGGTTTTTCTCTTTACCTCCTCCAGTATGGGGATGATGATGATAATAATACTGATCTACCTTGCAAAAATCAATATAATGCTTTATGTGAAATACTTTGAACACTCAAACAGCGTGACATAAACCCGGTGTTAGAACTTTTTCTCTGTTTAAAACAGTTGGATCCTTTCTCCTCTGTACTTCCAAAATCTCTGAAATTTTTACCTCTTCAGTGCAGTTAAGAGCTATTAATTCACAATCTATTTGGTCCTGCTTGCAGGAGAGAATCAATTTAAATGAGAAGCCTACTCTGACTAATATTGCAAAGAACATCCATGGAGTTACTTCCAAACTGAGCAAATAATCACATACCTGAAAGCAAGCATGAGCTAATATATTTTGAGTTGATAAAGTGATGATTGTGTCTATAGATCTATAGAAACCTGCTATATGGAAGGTCCCTTTTTGCGTGTACTGCATGGAATGCATATCAGAAAAGGTCAGCGTGAGATCACTGCCTTAGTGCAGTCAAACACGTGCAAGGGCCTTGTGCCTGCCTCTGATGTATTCCATGGGAGTAGCCAGAAGTTTTTCACCTGGAGTCAGGTACAGGCAGGAAGGGAAGAGGATTGCAGCATGCTTCCCCACCCTCTTGTACAGGTGGCAGCAAGCGATGGACTTAGTGATATGATGATCAGTTGGATGACTCTGTATAACCCATGATTTGGCAGGGTGATTGCCTTCTAGATCCGTGAATTTGCCTTCTCTTCTTAGAGGAGAGGAGAGGCTGCAGTCAGGCCCCTCTGGAAGCGACATTTCATCACCTAGATGGCTGCCCCTTTCTGCCGGGCATTCTTGCATAGGAGTGAAATGTGCAGCTTGGGGGATGATCCTATCGGGCTGCCTTAGATCATTGGTCCATCTAGCCCAGGAATCTCCAAGCAAACTATGGTCCTCAAGATGTTGCTGGCCTACAATCCCTTGTGCATGAAGATCAGAACTGTCAACTCCTATGGAAGTACCTTCTATGTAGGAAGCTCACCATGTGTAGAAAGAAAGTTACTAGTTATGTTGCTTGCTTGTATATTTCTGAGTACAATTTAAGGTTCTGAGATGAACCTTTAGAACCTGAGGACAGGTTATCTGAAGGGACACCAGAAGCTCTATGAGCCTGATACTAAGATCTGCCACATTTTAAGGTCTCCTTCGGAAGTATAAAGGCCCTGTCTTTGGGCTACCATTACAATCTACCAGAGAAAGGGCCTTTTTGGTGGTAGCCCCATTTTTTGGAATTCCATCTGTGCGTGATGTGCATGGCCCTGTCAATACTGGTTTTTCAAAGAAATATGAAGAATTCTAAAAATGTCAGTGCACATTGGTTGTTGTGCTGGTTCTTGAATTTTATTTGCTGCTGCTTATTAATTGGAAGAAATGTTTTTGCTCTTTATATTTTTTTAAAAAGGCATGTAGTGAAAATCAAAGAGTCACTTTGACCAGGGGTCTGGTCAAATTAAGCTTTCAGGAGTTAGCAACACTGTTCAGGCTACAGAGTTAGACTGCTATGCCTGCACCCAGTTTGATGTTGTAGGATTAATTAAACAAAAAAGATGAGCCATGTCTCCAGTTTTGAGTCCCGAGACCAAAGCTCCATGCCTCACCAAATTTGTATTAGGGCATGAAGCCAAGGAACTTGTGCTTGTCTAGCATTCTATGGATGCTGAATGTAAAATAATGGACGCATTCGCATTCCCTGGCTTGCACTTTACACACGCCCATAAGTGGAATTTTGTCCTGAGTGCTGATAATGTGGGACCGAGTATAGGAAAGAAATCAAATACACTTCCAAGCTAATGCATGTGTGACATTCACTCATTTGGGCACACCCACTTGAAAGTCCATGTGTGAAACTGCCCGTTCTGTTTGCAGTGATCTGCTCTGGCTTGGCGAGCTGAAGAGTGACTCAACCCAGATTGAATGAAAGCTGTTTATAAGCAAATGCTGTGAGTTGCAAGTTGCCTGTTCACATCTTACCTCCATGCCATGAAATCTGCCAGTGGCCCAAGGCAAGCCACTGTTCCTTTTACCTTTCTGAGCCATGGGAGCAAAATACTGTCCTAATTCACTGGGCCGTGCTAGTTTGCTTGGTGAAAGGATTACTGGGATAATAGAAGTTTTAGGCTATTCATATACTACCCTTCAGCAGTGCTTCCAGAACAGGGCACAAAAGTAACGGAATGTATATGCATATGTATATTTATGCTAATTATGCTTATAGAAGCACTACTCCTTCAGTATTACATTAAAAGTTGTAGGGATAATCCTTGTTGAGTGCTAGGTGATCTAGTCTGAATTTTGCTGTCTTTCTTTTTTTCCGGTAGACATCAAATACATCGAGATGTCACCTGCCAGAGCAAAGGGGGCAGAAAGCTGGCAGAATCCAGCAGGCTCATCCAGCACGTCACTCTCTGTGTCTCCCCGTCTGCTTCCATGTGGAGGAACCCCCAGAAATACCTGTGACATGGGTGGCCCCATGGCCTTTGTGCATGCCCACGATCTTGGAGGACTTCCAGCCACAGGGAGGCAGCCGCCAATGTGTACTCAGGTGTCTGAGAGTATCTCCATTCCACAGCGGGGCCAGAAAAACTCTGCTGCCCATGGGTCAGATTCACACCTGGCTTCCTCTCCAGGCTTTGAGAATTTTCTGAAGCTGGCCCACCATGGGAGGCTAGCCCAGAGGTGCAGTGAGGCTTCAATGCTTTCGACAAGCCCTGGATCAGACACCAGTTACGTTCTTGGAAGGTAAAGTCTGAGAATCTCATGTCTGCTAAAAGAGAACCGGTCCTCCAAGTGCCAGTCCTTACATGGCCAAAATAGCACCATCCAAGCACAGGAATGGAATCAGGACGCGTATCATTCAGTTGGTGTTTATAGCATATTTATGTGTGTGTTTTGTTTCATGTAAGGTAGAAGAAGAGCTCATGATGCATTGAAAATAGGCTTTTCTTTTACTTGACCCAGTTTGTACCCACTCCCTTGTTTTCCCCAACCATCAGAGGCATACTTTTTAAAAATTAAAATCAGAGACACTCTGCCTTTCAAAGGCCAGCCCTTCATGTTTGAAAATGTAAGGAACCCAGCCCCTGTGATCTCTCTCCTCTGGATTGGAGGCACAGCCAGAGCATGGACTCACGCAGAGACAGAACGGGCTGCTTTCCTTTGGGTGAGTTATTCAGCTGAGGAGATCATGCAGAAAAGCAACAGGCACCCTTCTTCAAAGATGAACACTCTGAATTCAAAGCTCCTTTTCAAATCATGTATTTCTCATAGCGTATTCATAACAATTTCAATCTGCCTCTGTAGCAAGCAGTGAGAACACCAATCACCCATCAAAAGCCAGAATTCAGAGCTGATATTGTAGCAGTGTGTTGTAGGCATGGTCGTCGTGGTCCGTGCTTGGGGTCTTGCAGTCATTCTGCCAGAGTGGGGAATCAAAGCCTTAGTTCTCTGCTGCTGCTTAGCACTGGACTGAGAGTAGGGCACTGCTACTCCCTCTGCAAAAAACTACCACATGGAACCGCACCACTGAATTTTAAAAGGCTGTTTTCCTCAAAGGGAAAAATGCACATTAAAATCCATCAGCACAACTCCAAGTGGCAATTTTCAAAGAATAATCAGAAACAGCTGCCCAGGCACCAGCTGCCATTTTGAAAATGGATCTCAGTCAGGAGTTTCCACTTCCTCTCAGCTGGATTCCATTTTCACAATGGCAGCTGACAAGGCTCTGGCCCTGGAGCAGAGCGTGGCAACCAACCAAGCAGGTGGGGAGAAACTGTGGAAAGGATGGGGAACAAAGCAGGGACAGCTGCGCAGTGGTGGGGGCCCAGAGGACACTTTGCCCAGGATCCCCTGAGATCTGGCAGCCGTCCTCCACTGCAGTTGGGGTAAACGCGGAGAAGTGGTGGCTGGAGGAAGAACAGATCAGAGAACTCTGCTTCTGGGTATTTTTCCTTGAGAAGAGCATTCTCAGGGCCCATTTCTTGGCTGATTCTCTTAGGAGCTGACAAACATTTTCAGCTGCCCACACACACCTACACCTTTCACTATGACCAAAGAATTGAAATGACATGTCAGGAAGTTCCAAGTGTTAAATCTTGCTACCGATAGCAGATTTTGCCCTGACAAAGCAGAGCTAAAAGTAAACAAAATATGGAGCGCTCAAGTGGAGCAAAAGAAGAAACAGATGTTCCACACCTGGGAAGATCAGCTGCAGAAGACCTCTGAGTCAGATCTGGTTCCTCAAGGGATGCCCCCTGCCTCCACTGCTCCCTGCCTAGCATCAGAACTGGAGTACGAAGAGACATAAGGCTAGTCAAGAGTTTAAGGGAAGAGTGAAAGATGGATTTGGCCAATGAGTTCCCCCTCTGTCTTGGAAAGGGTCCAGCCAGTGAAACTAGATGCTGATCATGGAGACATGTGCTCCAAGAAGGACTGTGCCCTTCTTCGTATTGATAGTTGTATGAGTCCTTCTGCATTTCCTTTCTCTTTTGCAGTAGCACCCAGTCACTGTCCAGCGGTGTACCTGACACTCCTCCGACCAGGTCAACAGGCAGTCTTTCCTCGGTTGGCTCTCTCAATGGCTCCTATGATGGCATCTGTAGCTCCAGTTCCTACCACCCCAGTGTCCTTTGCTCCCAGAAAGGGAATTCTTCTCTACCTCAGCCACCTCAGAAGGGACAGACCCACAACGGCTCTCCACCCGTCGCAAACTCTTCACCCCAAATCCCCATTGTTCTCATCAATGGTCGTCTGGAAGACAGCGAGGCTTTCTCCAGACCTCCCCAGGTTCACCCAAGTTCTTTCAGGCACAAGATCCCGCAGCCCAATTCAGGCGTGTTTTCAGGAGCCGGTGGTTCCAACAAGACTTCTTCTGAGAGCTCACTCTCCTCCATTTCATCAGTGGACAGTAAGTCACTCCATCTTAAAAACTGCATCCACATTTCACAATACTTTCATTCCCATTTTGTGGCCACTGAAATTTCCATGATAAAGTTTTATGTGGATGTGGAGGTGTGGGCCTAGGAAAATCTGTGTACTTGGGAACAGACCTGTAGATGAGAACAGATCCAGGCTAAAAACTGCAATGCGCCCTCATGGGGGCACAGGGCCCTTCTGTAAGGTGTCCCAGGGATGCTTCTTTATAGTTGGCTTAGAAAGATTTCGGGGTTGGCTTTAGGCCCTTGCTCACCAAGGCTCCCTTCCCTTGCCTTGCTGAGCTTTTGGAAACTTTCAGCAAATCAAGAGGGAGGCAGAGATCGTGTGGAAAGAACATTCTTTCTGTGCAGCTTGTCCCCCCACTGATACCCTGTCAGGGGAGCCAGAGAGATGCAGCAGTGGCTGAGCAAACCCCCTCCTTTTTCGCTCACGCACGTGTTCCTCCCCTGGCCACCAGACAGTCCCTTCCTGGGGGAAAGGGGAGGGGATGGCTGTGAAGTTTGGGGGAGAGGCTTGTCTCCCCCTTTCAGAGCAGCCCATAGTTGTTGACCAGGACCAAAAAAGCAACATTCCATTCAGATTAGCAACAGCAGGATTCTCTAGGATAGTTCCCATGTAGGGTTCAAGGGCTTTTCTAAACAAGGCATCTATTGTGTACTTGTGATCCCCCAAACACAGATGTTTGTGGGCCTTTGCACAGCATTGGCACACGCGCGTGCGCACACCACTACCTCTCCCATGCTTTCCAGCCACTTCCACAACTTTTTTTGAGTGAGGGCAATGCAGTATTTTCCTAGCAAACGTCATGATTCAGCACAGGAGCCTTGTCTAAAGTCTAAATGTCACTCCATGGCACAGTGCTACCTCATGTTGTGCAACAGAACATATAGGAACACACAGGGAGAGAAGAAAACTTCTGGGGGCAGGGAAGCCTCATGTAAAAGAGGCATTCTTCCTCCTCGCAGAGAAAGTGGGGAAAGTCGCAGTAAGGTACTGGGTTAAATGCCTCATGAAGAGAAACTCTGTCCTAGTTACTACTTTTCCTACTGCTTGCAGCTGTGCTATATCCTATTTCATCTTGCAGGTTGGTCCAAAGATACCCAGCCAACTATGAAGTTTGTAATGGACACCTCTAAATACTGGTTCAAACCTACCATCACGAGGGATGAAGGTAAAATAATGTTCAGGGGCCAGTAGGGGAGGGAAGGAAACAGCAGAAAAGCCCTATTATGTAAGGAGCTGTCCTAGCTGAGACCTGGCAGCAAGGCATGGCTTGTTGTTGAGCGAGCTGATGGGAGCCTTGGGCTCATTGCTAGGTCTAAGGGGCCCTGGGCAAGGTGCTCTCTGGGACCCTGGCAACGGATTCCCAGCCTCCTCTGGAGCTACCCCCCCCCCCACTTTGCCCACCTTCCTCTCCACCCTGCAACTCACCAGTCGAAGTTCCTTTCCTTTCTCCAGCCTTCTGGTTGCTTGTTACTCTCCTTCCTCCCGCAACTTACCAGGTGGCACAGAAAAGGGGTTTGCTTTTTTAAATCACTGCCTTTGTGAAGAAACAGTTTATGCATGGATTTAGCAAAGCAATTTCTCTACTGCAAGTAGCCGTGTGCACGGGCAAGCCAAGCCGAGGGGGCACGTGCCCGTTGGGGCTGGCTGTGCTGGCCACCGGGCAAAGGTGTCCTGAAAGGAAAACACAGATGAAAGGAACCCCCTGTTTGATGCTGTTTGGTAAGTCGCGAGAGGCAGGGGAGACCTGCTTGTGCTCTGCCTTCCTTCCCCTCTTCCCCGTTTTGTGCCTTTCAGAAAGCAGTTGTGCAGCAGTAGACCAGCTGCTGGCCTTGGTGAAACTACCACATGGCTAAACTACCACCTCCGGCCACCCCATTGCTGCTTCAGAATAGGCAACTCTCTCCTGTCCTGCTGCCACCTGGCAAGTTAATGGGGGAAAAGACAGGGCCGGCCTGGATGCTCTGTTCTCCTCCCACGCCCGTCCCTTTCACCACCCAGAATGGAAAGAGTCCTGCTGCCCCAACCCCTGCTTTTTTCCTTAAAAAACCCCAAACAGTTCAGCAGCATCTACATGCACCCACCACTACCTCTGTTCCCAGGATGCCCCTCTGGCCCAGAAGCATTCTGGGAAATAAAGGCTGTGACAAGTAAGGCTGCAGCTGGTTCAGTGGGCATTTCACTGAGCTTCATAATGCCCCCCCAAAGGGGAAGTTGCTGCCTCTTTCTGGGGGCCCTCTGGGTTGGAGGTACCCAGAGGTCTGCACAGAGGTCTGCACAGAGGTCTGGGGGGTCATCAGGCAGCGGAGCAGCAAATACTGGTTAGCTAAAAAGTCAGAATACAAAGCAGGATGAGATTGTGTCAGCTTGTCTGGGCATGGAGTCAGCGCTTGGCAGGATGAGGAAAGTGCCGGGGCCCACATACCCAGGGGACAAGGGCAACTGAGGCTGAATTATCTTATCTGAATATATATAAGGAAAGCAGAGTGGATTCATATGTTTTATTGTGCACTACCTGGGGAAGATGCCTGGCCTGAAAGCTGGGAATAACTACTTCTTCTTCTTCTTCTTCTTCTTCTTCTTCTTCTTCTTCTTCTTCTTCTTCATCTTCATCATCATCATCATCATCATCATCATCATCATCATCCCACATTTCCATGCTGGTGGAGGGCAACATGGGATTTCATGTTTGCCTCTGATGTACAAAATGGGGATGGGGGTCCCTTGCAAAGGGGGACGCTGCAAATGGAAGGACCCTCTTGGCCCGTTCCATGACCACGGCATTTCCTTTGTAACCCGTCCCTCCAGTCTGAGGCCTACTTTAGCCCGCTAAACTTGGGGCTCCTGAAGGAGGGGGGCCAATTGCAGGGTGGGGTGGTGGAAGTTTCCCTGCTTATCCTTTGCCTGTGAGCCTCCCTCTTCCTTTCTCCAGAGCTCAAGCTTCCAGGTCCAGGTATACAAAAAGAACAAACATCCATCCATCTGTTCCTCCTTGTATTCCCAACATGTCGGAACACCAGCCTTTCTCAAGGGAAACATTGCTTCACAGAAAAGCAAGACAGTTGGGGCTGTTCACCAATTCAGTAGAGCACAATCTTCTGTCTTTTATACATTTCCAGATTCCTACCAAGTTAAGGCAATATAACTCCTCAAAAGGGATGTCCGAGCTAGTCTCTGCCTGACTTATTTGAGAAGCATATTTTCCCTTGAGAAAGACTGATACTTAAAACCCACTGGGGATTTAAAAAGGGATTTTTTGTTTTGTTTTGATTTTTGTTTTGGTCTACAGAACTGGCCCAGCTACAGTTTTGTGTTTGTTCACAGCTGCTTTTGTTGCCACAGATCTTGCTACAAACAGTAACACCATGCAAAGTTTGGTCGTTATAGAGTAACAACATGCAAACATTACTTGCTTGCAAAGAATTCACACGCCCCTCTTGGTGTGCAGCACAGCAAAACACACATCATAGGAACCACTTGGAAAAAGAAGGGAAGGTTTCCCCCTCCATGCCTGGGAACCATTTTTGAAAGGGAGGAACGAGTGTAGACACAGTGATGAGGAGAGCTTTGCCTAAGGGGCAGTACAGAAGTGAAATGAAACAAGCTCCATAGCATAAATAAGAAAAGCCATAAGGGCAGGTAGCATTCCTGGGTGGATGTTTTTCCCTCCAGGGCTTCTGCTCAAACTGATCGTTCCTCTTAAAATACGGGAGACCCCATCTGGCATGTTATAGTGACAGGAGCCCGAGCTTTGAATCAGGAAGGTCCAGGTTCTAATCTCTTCTGCTATGAACGGGCTAGGTTCATATATATGCAAGCCACTCCCTCTCAGCCCCAGTGTCCCCCTTCTGCAATATGGGGGTTAATAACACTGGGTTGCCTTACAGAGTCGTTTTGGGGAGACCTGTTAGGCAAAGCTTATGATGCCCTTTGAATGCTTGAAAATGCTGCACCAGCCTTCCCCAGCTGGTATCTTCCAGATGTGCTGGGCTACTGGATGGGAATGCTGGGAGCTGTAGTTTAACACATCTGGAAAGTATCAGAGAGAAAGTCTGCTCAGTATATACTAAATATTATTCTTAGTTCCTCTCCCTCCTTTATAAAATGACACTCTTCTTTGTTATGCTGACCTTTTGCCTGCTCTGTGTTTTTAAACAGCTGTCCAACTGCTAACAGATAAACTCCCCGGCACTTTCATCATGCGGGACAGTACATCATACCGTGGCTCTTTTGGCTTGGCCATGAAAGTCTTCAGCAGCAAAACAGGTACCAAAAATTCCTGTGCTGGATTGTGGATCAGCGTTTCCAAATTGGTTCTATTGCAAGACTTACATCTCCACTTTTGAAGCAGCTTATAATATATAGGTGACTTGCTACCTGAAAGTTCCAAAACTCAATGTGGGTGACACAAAAGAAGGAAAGGGAAGACAAAAAAGGAGATTAGAAATTCTGATAGCAGACACGCTTTTAAAAAGTAGAAGTGAAAAGGGGAAGCATGTGTCCCTCTTACAACTGACAAAATGTATATCTAGAGCATGGAAAAGTAACTCATACATGTTTCTGCACAAGTCAGTGTCTGATGAATCTAAGTCACTGTTTGATGTATCTAGAAGAAAGCAGACACAGATGAGTAACTCATGCAGAGATGCAACAAGCAGCATCCCCCAGCAATGAATAACTCCCGAGACTCAGTGTAAGACAGGAGTAGGCAACATCTGATCTTCCAATGTTTTGGCCTACAGCTTCCATCAGCCCTCACCAGCATAGCCAATGGGGATGGATCATGGGAGCTGTAGGCCAAACTATCTGGAGGGCCCCAGATTGCCCACCCCTAGCATAAGGAGTCAAATAAACTGGCTATAACTGATGCAGTAGGCATCCTTCTACACAGGGTAGCTAGCTACAGCAGCCTTTAATCGTTTAATGCAGACCCCCCTAACCCGGTGCCCTCCAGGTGCATTGAATTACTTTTCCTCTCCTCTCCAGAACTCTGCACACTAACAGTTATCTCATGGCATGCAGCTAGGGAATTCCTGGAAAATGCAAATTGGTCGTGTTGTATATAAAGTATGGTGCTGTCATTAAAAACCAAGCAATCACCCTTGCATTTAGGGGAGAAAAAAACTGAGGCAAAGAAAACTGGAATCATTTGAAAGAGAAGAGGGTAGGTGGATCAAGACTGCAGGGAAAGGGAATTAACTAACTTAGGGAGACTTGGAAGAGCAGTTCAGAAAAGCTGGAGAGATGTCCAAGGGAAAGGCCAAAAAAAAAAAAAAAGAAAAAGGCAGAATAACAGGCCATCAGGAAATGATACTATCCAGGCCTCTTTGAGGCTTTTTCATAATCAAGGGAGTGTTGACAGTCAGGGAATGCCTTTCCCCTCCTGGTTCTGCAGGCTGGAGATGAAGCTCACCCAGAAGGTTCTGCAGTAGCCCCTGGGAAAGAAAAAGCCGTATGGTGGAGCCGGTCCATGCAACCATTTCAGTGCACCAAGCCAGTGGCAAGCTGCAGCTGTTTCAGCCCAGGCCAAGTCAGTTCTGTGAATTCAGCACAGATCTCAGCTTTCAGTACACAGCCAGCACCTCCAGGCCAAATGCGATTCACTTGTGCCCCTGCTAAATGCACGCGCATCAATTTGGCTGTTCATGGAGGCAGTTTATGTTAGAAGGAGCATGTGGGGGCAGAAGAAGAACTTCCCAGTGTGCCCCTGCTTGAAGATGGCTTTCCCCACCCAGAGGAAGCATCTTAAAGCACCCGGGAGTGGGGAAGGCACATGGTTCTTTACTATTAATTGAATCGACCTCAGGGTGCAATCCTACACAAGCTGAGGCAGAAGGAAAGCCCAACAGCTCCCAACATGCCTCAGGCAGCATGGCTGGCTGGGCCACTGCTAAGCTCTTTATTGCAAAGAATTCCTATTCCAATGATAGTGTACCAGTAGAGAGCCAGTGTGGCATGGTGGTTAGAGCATCGGACTGGGGACTCGAGACTTCCAGCTTCTGTTCTCTACTCAGCTGTGAAGCTCACCAGTCACTGGGCCAGTCATTAACTCTCAGCCTAACCTACCTCACAGGGTTGTTGTGTGGATAAAATGGAGGGGAAGAGACTAGGGCACTGACTCACATTTCCCTTTACAGGATGCCCGCTCAGGGCAAAGCTTTTCCCATAGCAAATACGTTGCTTTGGCAGCAAAGTTAATTGTCATGATGGAGAAAAAGTGGGTTTCTCTTTTGTCAAATCTGCCAGAATATGAACAAACCTTCTTGTTATGGTTAGGATAGCTTACATTTGAAATTCAATTCACTTCCCACACTGCTGAATTGTAGCATTCACTCAAACAGATTTTGGGAACAGATTCTGAATATGATGGGAGTTCACATGGCCCCTTTCAGGAGATGCTTGGATGGCTTAATTTAATTTTCGTTTCCCACAACTGTTCCATAATGCTATTGTGACACCAGTCACGCATATGCAAAAGCAGCTACTTTCTGAAGCTGAGACAATGCTTTGGTAGTGGGAGGATTCTCAAAGCAAACTCTCTTTGACAGATTTGACTTCATAGCAGAGACATGCCTATGGCAGGATCAACCGTGCCTATGGCAGGATTAAAAAGGAGTGACACCAGAAATTTAGGAACATAATTTATGCTATCTGTTAATTTATTTGAATAGTATTTGTAGAGGCCTTTCTTTACGAAGTATACGTGAAGCTGCATTCAGAAACTGCACTGTAATTTTTTACAAGCATATGTCTATGTATGCATTTACATGCAAATAAATGCATTTCTTACACACACAACAGCATTATATGTAAAATACATAATATACATAAAACTTAATATACATCAGAGTCAAGCATGGAGCACTAGTGGGGACGGCTGAAGATGATAAGACTGCAATGATAAAGCTGTTTTTTAAAGCCAGTTCAGATTGGCATTTTGCAAACCTTCAGATTTTATTTATTTATTTAGAAAATTTCTATGCTGCCCCATTCGCCGAAGCCTCGGGGTGGCTCACAAAACATCAATTAAAATATAATGCACTAAAAATATAAAACGAATTAACAATATAAAATAAGTCACCCTGGCCAAAGAATAAAATAAGCAAATAATATTAGCAATTAAAATAACGTTCGAATAAAAAAGTCTTCACCTTTACAAGGTTGTTTTTTGTTTCAAAAGTTGCATTTCAAATCTATATTTTGTTTTAAAGGGGAGGATGGTGGTGACCACATCAGACACTTCCTCATTGAATCTTCTGCCCGGGGAGTACATCTCAAGGGGGCTGATGAAGAGCCATATTTTGGTAAGAAATATACCTAATTTCCCTCAACTGCCTGTCCTAAAACAGATATGTGTGTGTACACCAGTGGTCCTTAGCCTAGCTCCTTCCAGATATGCTGGATAGTAAGAAGGGATGCTCCCATCTGGAAGAGATTCTGAGAGCTGTAAATGAGCATACATGGATGGTCCCAGGTTAGAGAAGATTGGTGCATGATTACCATTATTACAAAAATGATGTACACAATTATTGACTATTATTTGACAGGTTGAGGTTGAGTTGGTGGAACCTGTGAACAGTGTGAGTAGTTCTGAGGTTGCCTTTAAGGAAAGTCCTGCTGAAGTAGGAGAGAGGTCCATCAAGTCCAGATGTGGGGAACCTCTTTCAGCGAGAGGGCCAAATTTTGGAGCCAAATTCCCAGAGGTGGTTGGGGCCGAAAGCAAAGAAGGCAAGGCCAAAAGTAAAAGTAGTTGAAAAATACCCAAATGTTGTAGCTTAAAGCTACAAGCCAATGCTTCTGGGAAGTTCACAAACAGGTTTTGAAGGTCACAAGCTTCTCCTGTTGTGACATCCCAGCAACGTGCAGTTTCTATTGTGGCTGAGGATACAGTGCTATGCAGGAAACCAGTCTTAGAACGTCCAGTATACCCCAGTCAGCTATGCTAGGAGTGGTGGGACTATTTTTGAAGTCTAAACATGCATAGGATGGGGCTCTCAAAGATGCCAACAGGCCTCCCCAGCATCTCAGTAGGGACTGGCACGTTCACCTCACCCCAGCGATGCCCCAATCCAAGATATTTTCCTCTGTGACACAAAAGGTGAGAAAGAATCCCTCTTCCATTCCATGTGAAAAAGCCAGCTGGAGTGGCATTCAAAACACTCCTCTATCTTGTAAATAAGCTATCCCCCCAAAAGACAAGATTAAAAAATCCCTCCTTTTAAGAAAAGCTATCCAAAATCTTCAAACACCTTCACAGGGTGGAATGGCTCCATGAAAATGGAGGGGTGTTTGGTGCTGTTCTACCAAAAACATTCACTACAACTCTAAGCAGCAACAGATTGCATGGGAACAAACAGTTTCGGCGAGGATCTGGGATTCAGAGTTTTGAGAACATTCTGTACAAACATCTGCATCTCCTTCTCGTCACTACAGGAAGTCTCTCAGCGTTTGTGTACCAACACACCATCATGCCGTTAGCACTGCCCTGCAAGCTGGTCATTCCCAGCCAAGGTAGGCTTTGGAGTCTTGGGCAGAGCGTGCCTGTAATGTCAGGAGAGATGCGACACTCAGTGGAGTGAGCTGGAGCGATCCAGGCTCGATGCAGCTGCCAGCAACAATTAGGTTGCCATCCTACCCATCCCTACAAAGGAGCGAGTCCCAGTGAGCACATGGGGCTCGTGCTGCACCAATAATCTGGGCTGAACGTTTGCTCAAGCTGCACATTTTCAGGGTCTAAGCCTCATCCCCAGGATCTCCACAGCAAGAATCCGAACTTCTGGCTTATTGAAGGGATCGAATCAAGGGGATAAGAGGAGGCTATTTTTGGTGCAGCTGCCTTGCCCATGGCAACGACCTGGTTGCATTTGGACTGCTTCAGTTGCTCATGGGTTCTCCAGCAGTGCCTAGAGTGGGTGGGAGGGTACTTTGGGGCAGGGGGTTGCAAAGCTGCTTGTAGAATGGAGGGAGAGGGCAGAGTGGGAGCCTTGGGTTGGATTGGAAAATTGCCTTCATTTTTTCAGGTGTGGAGGAGAAAGAACTTGAATCTGGTAAATTCAAGGCAAATGGGGTGGGGGACTTACCCACTTCTGTGCCCATGTTTTCAGTGGGAGAACTTAAGACTGAGAGCCAAATTAGAAGGAATGCATGAACATGTTTCAGGTATCTGCTTTTGGGCAGCAATAGCAGCTACCCCAATGGCATGTTTTGAAAACAAAATAACTGACCATAGTAAAACGACATGAGTGCAGGAAACATAGATAGGGGACAGCAGTGAAACAGATAACAAGCTTGGTAGCATTAAAAGAAAAAGTGTTTATGACCCATTTAGAGGCTGCAAGAGGTGGGGTCAGATGGAGTTCTTTGGGAGGGAATTTAACGAGTGGCCATCACTGAAAAGGCCCTGACTCCAACCTGATCGGTCTTAGTGACAGGCTCAAGAGATCAGAGGATCAGATCCTCAAGCCTGATCTTAGGATCAAGGCAGTTTCACATAAGCTGAGACCGTCCTGCATGCTATTAAATACATGACGCCAAGCCATTAGACACTTTCCAGGTTAGTACTAGCACTCCGAATGATGGTGGCAATACAAAATGGTGATCTGCTCAGGCCCATAACCCTCAACCCACTTGCATCCCTAGTCCCTGTCACCTGCATTGTGAAGGACAACGTCTTGGATTATCTTGCTGGAAGTGAATCTTGCAGCAGCTCCTGTCCTGCTGCGGGGCCAGTAGATCCCAGCTTAGAAGCTAAGCACCTTTTCAGCAGATGATTGTGCTGAGTGGCAGGGCTGCAAATTTTGAAAAGTGGCTTGTAATGGATCGGTCGTTGTCCTCAGTCAGATTTGTTTTGATATTTTGATTGCCCTGTACTCCCACTTCAGATTTCATTGGAGGACAAGAAAGTCCCACCATGAGTGCTGAAATCACTCCTCCAGTTTCCCAGAAATTTGCTGGTAAGTAAATGGGGGCACACATGCCTGTAAAATGAGCAAACACACTGGCATTGAATGTTGTCCTCTCACATCTGTAGTTCAATCCTCACTTTTGTTGTGAAGATACCACACTTTGGAAACAGTCAAACCAAAGTATTCTGTGCCTGGGTAAAAAGGCACAGAGTATTTTGGTTTATCCCCTCCTTCTCTGTGATTCCAGCAGGGAATGTCGTTGAGTGAGCATTGCGATGCTGCAGATGTGTGTGCGTGACTGTATGTGAGATGGAGAGAGAGAATGAGAGACAGAGAGAGATTCTTGTGCTATGAGGAGTCAGGGCTAAAAACCTCCGTGACTCCTGACCAGAGTGCCAGGTAAGCATTCCTGCTGCGCACCACTGCCAACCTCTGGCCAAAGAAGGGAACTACAGGGACTCCAACTGAAGGAGGCAATGCGCTCTGACCAGGCTGGAGCCTCCTGGATCAGTGACAGAAGCACAGCCAGTCCCAAAATGTTCAAAATACCCCAGACTCTCCGTGCATGCATGCATGGGTGTGTGTGATTTCCTTCTCCAGTTTCTCTCCCTGTCTCTTCTCTCTCTGGCCAGTTTCCCTCCCTCTCCCCCTCCCTCTCCCTCCCTCTCCCTCCCGTCCTTCCTTGCTTTCTCCTCTCTGACTACTTTTTCTCTTGTGCATTCTCAATGTCTCAGCTTTCAGCCACAGCTCCAGTTCTCATGGCCAGAGAGCATCCCGATGGCTGTTGGCACATCACGAAAACTCTTGTGATTAGTGTAAAAACAGAATGAGCACAGATTCTTCTGCAATCACGCAAGCTATTGAGGTTTTCGGTGAGGGCTCCCGAGCTCTTGGGATGGCCATAGAATGCTGACTGGAGCCTCACGGGCTTCCTGGGTGTCTCAGGGGGGACTCCCAGTGGCACACGGGGAATCCAAACCTAGGCTATGACAGTAGAAGAGGGAATGGCACCCCCTCAGCATCCCATCTGTGCTGTGCCATCCGGCAGAACCTTTCTGAGTGGGATGAGGCTTGCACAGCGGCTCAGTTCTTGGTAAGCACATTGCAGATACAGTCATTTGCATCCGTTTCAGTGGACCGCTGTAATCCGGGGTTCCCTTGTCCTCCTCCTCCTGCCGTAATTTTAAAAAGGATAATGAATGTGAAGCCTGTTGGGAAAATTCAGATAAATCCTGGCAGGAAAGGGTTGCTTATATGTGCCTTTGTGTTATGAAATCAAACCTGCATCCCTTTCTCAGAAAGCACCGGATTTCCAAGTCATGTAACTGTTTAGCATTTGCTTTTGGTTTAAGAAGTGGGAACTAATAGCGTGCCTAGAAGCTGCCTGGGCTATTGTTTTGCAGATCAGTAAGAACTGGTCAGGCTGCCAGGTTAACAGCATTGCAATCGCCCTCATTTGCATGCCAAGTCCCACAGTAATCCCTGTGCCTCAGTGATCATTCCGTTAATCTCCTGCAATCAAATGCCATTGTACTGAGCCCCCTCTGCAGACCTCTCGCCTTCTGACTATGATCATCTTATTTTGTCATCTGCTGCCCAGCTGCTGGGCCCATGTGACTCAGAATCTATAAAACACTCTGTATATGTTCTAAAACCTTGTAGTTGGTGGCGAGAGCCACTACCCGGTAGCACGCTGTCGTAAGTAACTGCAGGGGTCCTGGGTGATCTTTCAATGAAGCTGCTGGGGTTCAAGGCGAAAGGGGTCTTTCCCGACTGAACCTGGTTATCCTTGTTGCGGCTGCCGTCGAGGCTTCCCGACAAGCCCCATCCAGGCCTGTGTGGCCTGACAGAGTACTGTGAATGCAGTCCAGGGACACAGTGGCAGCCCATCTCTAGCAGATCTTCACTTTATTTGTAAAAGCCTGGTTCTATTTATTTTTTTTAAGTGTTGTCCAACCCCGTCCAAGCAGCGCACAACAAGCCATTTTTTTAAAATCATAAAACAGCAGGGAGCACTACCAACGCTGGTTTTCTTTGTAGCACAACAATTTTGAGGGTGGGGAATAGAGCTTCATAATGACTTCTTGAGCATTAACACCAGCAGAGCTGTTGGCAGCCGCTGCAAGTCACCGATGGTCTCCTTTTCTCCCCATCCTTCCAGCCTGCAATCTCTTGTTCCTGCACTCCATGACCATGGAGACCCTCACTGGCAAAGCAGCAATCCAGAAAGCAGTGTCCTCGGCATTCGAGCTGGAGGTCCTGCCCACGCCCACCATCGTCCACTTCAAAGTGACGGAGCAAGGAATAACCTTGACAGACATCCAGAGAAAGTAAGGAAATTGAACTGGGCACTTTGAATAACGGAGTGTGCGGCACTACGGTCTGAATTGAAGCAAGCTCGTTAGTTGAGTTTAAGCCCCAGTGAAATCTGCAAGTCTGAAGTTAGTCATGGCCTGATTCCAGATCAGTTTCAGTGCGACTGAGCTGCACTCCTGTGCTCACACGCCTAAGAATATGCCTCATACTCAGTCGGGCTTATTTCTGCACAGAAGCACATTAGATTGTGTTGAAACTGAGTGAGAGTTTAATACAAATGAGATCTGCAATGAATTGTTGCAGTGCTGTTCAGGCCCTGGTCAGGGAGGGGAAGGGAGGGGAGGGAAATTCAAGAAAGTGGGAAGAACCGTTCTCCCTCCTGGTCTGATACTGTGTATAACGTCAGAGGACTGCCAGATCCGCAAGCAGGAATTTATAGCTATACAGTAGGAGGAGCATCTAGAGAACAGGAAAAGGAGGGAGGTGTGTCTTCCCTTTATTCCTCCTTCTGAAATAGTGTGTAGGGAGGCAGCTCTTTAAACTTATAGCCTGCACCCTACAAGTCAAGCCCCCCTTCCAGTACTGTCAGGATCTTGAGTAGACCAGTCCCCTCTTTCCCCCCGTCCTCCATTTTTCAGCAGACCTGCTAATTTTCTGCACCTGAACTGTCCCCAGCAATAAACAGGCAAATAAATCCCACCGATGGCAGAGGAACTGCCTTAGCCAAAATGTGCCAGAGGCAGCCAACGGAACAGTGGCATTTCCTCTTCCCCTTTTAGGATCCTTGATGTTCACAATTGCAATTTCACCTGTTGCTATGAAAGGGAAAGGATGCATGCTAGGTCCAAGGCTGATGCAGTTTTCCCAGAGTTCTGTGGGTTTACTGGGGAATGGAAAGCTTGGATCGGTGTGCTTTCCCTGGTCTGCCCCCAACCCATCCCTAGAATGCTCCCCCTTTGCCCCCAGCAGCATCAGAGATCTTATGTCAGGCAATGACCATGGAAGTTTCCACTGCCATGGGGGGAAGGTGTATGAGGCTGGATCTCCCTTTCCAAGTCTGGACCTCTTTCTCTTTCTCTGCCTTCAGATACATGGTCCCAAACATACTATAGCACCTGAGATATCCTCCCCGGAAACATAGGTGTGACCTTTAACTGTATTTATGCATTAATTATATGCATAACCTGTCTTTTTCTCTGCGAGGAACCAAGACAGCTTAGAATATCCCTCTCCTCTGCATTGTATCCTCACAACAACCTTGTGAGATAGGTTAGGCTGAGAGTCAGTGACCAGTGTCACCATTTCTGGACAAGTCAGGACTAGAAACTGAGTCTCTTGAGTCCCAGTCCAATGGTCCAACCGCTGCACCTCACCAGCTTTGGTTTCTTATCCATTGTTCAGCCTTCCTCAACCTGGTGACCTCCACGTGTGTGGTAACACAATACCCATAATCTCGGCAAGCTGCCTGCTCTGGCTATGAATGGTGGGAACTGTAGTCTAACCTGTCTGGAGGGCTCTGTGCTCAGGAAGGCTGAGCTAGGATAAACCTCCATCGAAGGAGACGCCATTGCCTTCTTTTCGGCTAGCACTTGTTTTCACTATCAGTGGATGATTCTTATTAGTGGATATCTCTGTCTGTTGGCAATACAAAAACCATTTGCACCTTCTAAAGCATTGCATTCCTTCCTCCCCCCCCCCCCACCCTTACAGGGTTTTTTTCAGGCGACATTATCCCTTGGCTACCATCAGCTTTTGTGAGATGGACCCCGAAAATCGAAAGTAAGTGACAAATACCGCTCCTCCATGCAGGCTTTTGTGGCAAGTGTTGATGAGCCCCTGTGAGAACGGCAGTCTCTCTTGCAATTCCTTTTCCACACAATTTAATTTCTGATGTTCTTATGTCAGGGCTCTCTCCCTGCAGCTTTGCTCTGCGTTCATGGCCACCAGAGGTTGAGTGGCATTGCTCAGCGTGTTGCTACTTCCAAACGAGGAAACACTTGAGTTCTTCCTAGCAACCCTCCGTGCTCTTTGCATCTGGAGATGTTTTCTGTGGCTCTTGAGCTACAGAGAGATTGCCTCCCTTAATCTGAAATAGCTGTAAAACAGTTGACCTGGAAGCCTGATGAGCAACATGAGGAGGGTACATGGAGCTGAGCTGCTGATGGGACTTTTACAATGGTTGCTTTCCCAGTGGGCCTCTTAGTACTGCTGAGGTCTTGCTCCTGGACTATCACCTGCACGTGGAATTAGACTGGTGGCTCCACGTGGCACTGACGTGTACTGCAGTTTTTCCCCATTGGAATCCCACAATATCTGTCCATTAGCAAATACGGACATGGATGGGTCATACCAACCCATGGCTTGGTTCCAGGTTTCATCTGCCTTCTGGTAGAGCCAATAAAAGCAGTGGGGCATGAGTTGGTCATGACTAACTTGAGTCCTACTGCTTTCACTGGGTCTACACCATGTAAAACTAGCTCTGGAACCAAGCTGATAACTGCAGCCTTAAGAGAAAGATCTTTAGTTCAATGGAAGGAGAACTACTCCCTGGAAAGTAAGGGACAGGTGGCAGGGTGGTGGTATGTTGGGGTAGCACTGAAAGCATCTCAGATGTTCAAAGTGGTGAACCAAAATGGAGTCCTCATGTCTGTCTTCCATGCTTTAATGCAACATGACCTTGAGATTACGGGAAAAGTTTCACAAGCAAAGCAGTGTCTGTAAGAAGATTAGGTTAGAGCTTTTAACAGGTCAAGGCAAAGAGATGGAATCTTTTTCTACATCTGCTTTTTTTCCAATCCCTACCCTTATGGGAATCTGCCATCTTATCAATCTAAACTTGACAAGAAATTATTAAAAACATGATCTATGCTAAAAGTGGTCTTGTTAAAAGTATAAAATACTATTTTTGTAATTTCTTTAATGTAACGTTGAGGAAACAAGCAAATTAGATGAGTTGATGCATGTGAACCCTAATGTGCTTTTCCCCTTGGTTTATTATTATTATTATTATTATTATTATTATTATTATTATTTATTTTCAGATGGCAAAAGTTTTCCAGAACTTCAAGGTGAGTTATATCATTGTGATGAATGATAAAGGCCTCTTTGGGCTTCTCTGGATGAGGCTTACTCAGAGAAATTTGCAGTGCCTTTCATGATGTCATCTCCCATGCTTTCCAACAATATTTGCTGCTCTTTTGGAGCAAGGACAGTCTGTCGATTTTCTGGATACTTATTTTTGCAATATGCAGTAGAGCGTATCGGAACCTATACAAAGGCAGAGAGGAAGCCTTGCGGGGGCGGGGGGAACAACCTTGAATGAAGGATACTCTCATCCACTACAAAGAAAGCAGGAGAAAAAGCTGATGATTATTTTTAAAAACTAGCTATATGTAGAGAAACTTTTGGACTACATGGAGGTTAGACTTTGATATGGAGCATTAGATATTGGTCAGAGGGACATTTTTCCAGTTAGTTCCCAGAGAAAAAATGTTAGCAGACACTTGGCAGCTGGGGGGGGCAGCAACAGAAATAGTTTAAAAACACTGAAGTTGCATAAAGGCCTTCATGGTAAATCAGCACCATGTACAGACCATCTTAAATCAATTTGCTTGCGCGTCAAGTCCCATCTGCCTGCCACTACGACTCCCATCCCATTTACTAAAATGCTGAAGCCGACAAGTGCAGGGTCCCATTCACACAGAGGCAAACCAGCTACCCAAAGGATCCCAGCAGCAGCAGCTGAGGGCAAAAGCACTCCTCCACCCACACTCCCCAGCAAAGCAAAGAGCCTTTGATCTAGAGGTAGCATATAACCATTAGGACCAGTAACCTTGCACCTCATGAATTTGTCCAGTTTCCCTTTTAAAGCCGTCCAGATTGGTGGCCATCTTTACAACCCATGGAAGTGAATTCCATAATCAGACTATATGCAGTGTGAAGTCCTTCCTGGATCTCCCACCAAACTGCTTTATGGGATCACCTCAGGTTCTACTATTATGGGAAAATGTCTCCATACCCTTCTTCCGCATACCATGCACAATTCTGTACACCTCTATCATGTCTCCTCTTACTCAGCCTTTTTCTAAGCTAAGCTATTTATACTATTTATTAATTAATTCTGGATTTGAATTTTAATCTTTTCCTCTATACCCTGCTGTTCTAAAACAAATTATATAACAAATAAATGAAAGAAAAAGAAATAGGCACATAACTCAAGTGAGTCAACTTTGGAGAATTCAGGCCCAGACTAGATGCCATTGAAACAAAGAATATAAGAGAAATTAAAATGCCTTCTCTAACTCTTTGGCACTCCCCACAACTACTGGAAACAGAATACAGTGTTCAAAATAAGCTTATGGACAATTTCCTAAACTGCAGCGTGACATACTGTCCCAATTATGTGCTGAAGCCAGTTCTTCAACTGTTGTTGTTGCATTTATATTCCACCATTTTCCTCTCGCAAGGGATCCAAGGTGGCTTAGATAACTCCAGTTTCTCCTCACAACAAAAATCCTGTGAGGAAGATTAGAACTCAGATCTCTCAGGTCTCCAGTTCAACACCAGACTGGCCCTATTGTGAATGTCAGCCTATAAGTTCAGAACATGTTCCTTTTCCATCTTTCATCACAGGATCTTTGGAGTAGTTGCTAAAAGCCCAGCAGACTCAGAGAATGTTTGCCACCTCTTTGCAGAATACGATGCGGTACATCCAGCTTCTCATGTTGTTGACTTTATCAAGAAACTTTTACCTGCTGCTTAAAAGAAACCTAATACTGGGTCATTTAATTTCCAGCAGCCCCTCACCTCCTATTACCCAAGTATACTGCCTCCTTACTCAGTGGATCTAATACATATAGTCTGATTGATTGATTGACTGCACCTTTACCTCCAGAAGCTGACTGGGTTGCATTTTGAAAATTCTTGAGGTTCCAGACAAATGCCGGCTGCTGTGTTGAAGGGCTGGGATTGGTGCATTGTCTCATGTTCTCTTTTGTGTACAGAAAGGCCAGCCATGTAAGTTTTCGGTTGTGTTTATCAGCTACATGGGCTTCTTCATGGGAAGATACTTTTGTTGCACGTGAATCTGCACTGTTTGCTGTGCCAATATCACATGTTTAGGCTATGTTTGCCAACAGCAAAGTTATTCAATTGTTATGCCAGAAGTATTGCAATCACAGCTGTACCCACATTGTCACGATTAATTTGCTACTTCTGTCCATTTACTGTAATGACCTATGAGTAATACAATAAACTCAAGTTTTGCAAACGAATGTTACCATCGTCCTTACCCTGAATGCCAGTACTATTCTTTTTCCCACCTTAGTGTCACAGGCACCAAATGGTTGGGTCCGTGACTCCACCAGGAATGAATGATGTGAGTCTCCCTCTCTATGCCTCCCGGTTTCATGAGGAACTAAACATTCCATACATAAATGTCCTTTCGTCATAATAGTCTTGTGGTGCCACCAGAGCTGGTGCTCAAAGGATGGATGTGCACAACAGCTGCCTGAGGAGACAGGTGACCCAAGAGGGACAATCCAATGCCGCTGTCCAATAGCAAGCCAAGGTTCATCTCCATCATGCCCGCTTTCTCTTTAGCCAAAGGAAGCCAGCCACCCCTCCCTCTGTGCCATTGGACTGCCCCGCAAACTAACCTAGCCTTGGAATCCTTGAAAGGGAGGCCCGGGGGGCCCTTTGGGTGATGTATGGAAGACTTTCAAGGTGAGACCTGGAGAAGAGATCAAGTAGGAGTTGGAAAGGTAATCTCGTTCTTCCCACCGCAGTAAGTCAATCTGTTCCCTTCCATTGCACAGGTTGTGGACATCCCATTACAGGACAATTGTTTTTATGTATTTTAATTAATTTTTCAAGATCAGGTCAATTGCAATCCATTCTTTTTTATACTTTGATATACAACATGAAGTAACATGTTCTTATACATATAAACACCGGTTGGTATCTCTAGCTATACCAGGTGGCACAGTGGTTTAAACTCCTGTGCTGCTGGGCTGGTTGATCAAAAGGTCGCCGGTTCGAATCTGCACAACAGGGTGAGTCCCCGTTGCTCCGTCCCAGCTCCTGCCAACCTTGCAGTTCGAAAGCATGCAAATGCAAGTAGATGAAAAGGTACCACTTCGGTGGGCAGGTAACAGCGTCCTGTGTACTTCAGTGTTTAGTCATGCCGGCCACATGACCATGGAGACTGTCTGTGGACAAATGCTGGCTCCCTCGGCCAGGAAACGGAGATGAGCACCGCCCCCTAGAGTCAGGCATGACTGGACTTAATGTCAAGGAGAAACCTTTACCTTTACATCTATATAGGTTCTGGATGGAATGGTACTTTCCCCTGACTGTTGCAGTTATGACTGAAAATCTTTTTTTCTTTTAATTCTGTATGTATTAGCAGCCTACAGGAGGCTACTTATGTATAAAACTAGGGGTTTGTTATCTTATCGAAGGCATGAAGAAGCTATCTAAATAGTTCCTTGAATGTTAGAATGGGTGAAAAGAAAAAGAAACATTCTTTTTTCTTCCATCAAGAAGTTGTACTGTGTTTGTCTGATTCTATTTCACTCATAGGGATAGAAGAACCTTTTCTGTTTGTTTGTTTGTTTGTTTGTTTCTCTCAGATGTTTTTCCATCTCATTTGTCCTGTCCAATTCCATATTAGTTTGCACTTTCTCAAGATGGTCACAGGAACATTTTTAAGTATTTTCATGTTTCTCTTAAAGTACTATTTTTGCCTACAATTTTCACTGATGTATGCATTTTTCAAGAAAGTTTTCCTAATATAATGTGTTATGTTGCTTTTGTGTGTGCACTTCAAATGTGTCATTTTAATCAAAGAACTGCTCCAAAACATTCAGAGAAGTGAACCAAGCAAATTTCTCTCCTATAACTCCAGTCCACTTTGACCTTGGCTCCTGACTAGTGTTTTCGCATATCAGACTGACATACAATGAAAGACTGATATTCTCTGCCTCTCTGCTGGTGATGATTATGGAGTGATGGGTTAATGAAGTTCCTTCTGTAGGTTTTGCTCCCTTCCCACATTCAGATGGCAAAAGGACCTGAATAAGGCCTCTGCCTCCAGCTGAGAAGGAGCCCTCACTTATTAGCCCTGAGCTGCAGGGGGTGCCAGTGAGCAGCTTTCAGATACATCCTACTTTCCTCAACAGCCTAAAGTTAGGAAGGGCTACATTACTGGTTAACACAGCCTTGTTTTGATTCAAGGGGAAAAAAATGAGTAATCACTCTGGTTAATATTAAGTTTGCTTGTTATAATTATTTTTTCCTGGCACATAACAAGCTGAGTCTCTGAGGGAACCTGGGAAAGCTTCTTATGCAATCTGCACAAGGCTGTGCTTTTAAATTTATTCATATTCCTGACAACTGCATCACAGGAAAACACTCTTATAATTGCGGAGGACTATGAAGAGGCAAACATTTTGGCTCTCTAATTCTTCATTGGAATCGGCTGCTTTCAAGACCAGCTGTTTTTCTTTCTCTCTTTGTTTTGGTCCTTTTATTACTTGGATTTAGTTTTCTCTTCCTTTAACGGACTCCACGGCACCATCCCAGTCACAGAGGAAGGGGATTTGGCCCGTATTTTTAGGTTTCTGCTACAGAGATGGGGTGCATGATGACAGCTCTGGCCCATCAATAGTTTTATTTAGTAACAATTGCTCATATACTCAGAATCGCAAGGCAGACCATAAAGAGAAAAGGCCACTTCCTTGAATCATGGCCCAGCTTTTATAAGATACTGTTTCCAAAACATTCCACGTGCTTCATCTGGTTAACAAACAACCCTCGACCCTTCAACCGGCCATGGGGTTCTGGGTGGCTTGTTAGCCACCCCAACGAGCCACTCTTGCCAGGTTCAGAAAACAGGACAAGCTGTGCCTGATGAGATTAAATATGCAAATAAATAATGCAGGGTGGTTAACGAGTGATTAACCATCCCCAAGAATGCAAGCTGGCTCATTGTAGCTTAACGTTCTTTCTGCCTTAAAAGAGGCCTTCAACCTTAGGGAACGGTTCGGCCTTGCCCCTGAAACCAATATTAGGGAAAGAACTGCACAAAACCTGGGAAACTACCAAGTGGCTGGTGGCTGAAGGAAAGAATTATGACCATCTGGGAACCAGGACTGAACTTGTTGCATTGGGCATAAATGTTGCCCCCTGACAGGGGGTGCCCCAACCTTTACTCAGAAGGCAGAAGCCTTTTACTGGAGATCTTGGAAATATACCAGCTTTTCCCCACACTTGCTATGGCGGGGTTTTACTTACACGGATCCATCAAAATGGGCATATTGTTACCTGGTCAGTCTTAGAATTACAGGAGTTCAAAACCTTGTTAGGCCAGAAGTCCTAAGAGAGGGGCAGACCTCAGAAAGCAAGGATCCAAATGGTGGGGTTTTCTATTACTTTAAGTGTAAGTTCTGTCTATGCCCTTCTTGACCTCTCAGACAGGGAAATCCCTTGATATAGTCACTACTGATTGTGCTCCTCCCTTTGGTCAAACCAAATGGGCTTCTTGGTTTTCCAGGGAGCTGGGGGTAATGAAACAACCTGGCAGCGATGGGTCTTGGGGTATCTTTTTGCAGTAGTTCCACTCAGTGTTTGAAGTTCATCTCAGAAGACAGTGTTTAAGAACTTCTGCCTTTGGTCTACTATCCCCAGCAAGGGTCCATCGTGTCACCATATGTTCTTCAACATCTAGGTGAAATTGTTTTGGGAGGTCATCCAGAAATTTGGGATGCATTGTCATCAGTATGAGAATGGCACACAGCTCTGTCCCTGCTTTCTATCTGAAGCCACTGTTGTCCCAAACTGATATGCTTGGAGGCCATAATGATGGGCCAGATGGAGGCAAACGACCTGTAGCTGAAGCCATTCTAAAGAGAAATATTCTTAGTGCAGGGGGAAAGGGTTGACTTCTTCTGATGTAGGGGCAAGCTTGTTCTAATCAGCACCACCCTTGAAATATAAGGTTGGTAGTCTGTTGGGATTTCCTGGATCCAGCCTGGCCTCTGAAACCCTGGAAAGCAGGTTGGCTGGGAGGAGAGATCCATTGCCCAGGCTGGGCAGCTGCACTAACTGTACGCTTTCCTAGGAAGGCTGGGCCTTCCACAGGGGCATGGGGTTTGGTTAGAGCAGGGCTGCCTGCATCACACTCTACATGGCATTGCTTCTGTGTTTCTAGAAGCTTCTGCTGGTCCAGATTGCAGCTACGGGGTGCTGACCAGAGCATGGCCATGTCAGCTGATTGCTTTTTCAGAACAGTTGTGCTGGTCACCACTACCTTTCTGAGAACAATGCAAAGGGCTGGTGATTACTCATAAAGCCTTAAAGGACTTGTATCCAAGAGTCCCCAAAGATCTCCTCCTCCCAAACAGTAAGTCTGCCAGGTTTAAATAAGCCAGATTTCCCAGTGTCATTGCATCCCTAAAACTCAGCCTGGGTTTTTCTTTCAGACTTAGTTCTGGAAAACCTGCAGGGGAGTAGAAGTGAGGCAAAAAGTGGCTGATGCTGATGCCTTGGAGGCTGGTCTTGGTCACAATCTCAAGGCAGGAATTTGAGGGAGGTAGGAGCCACACAGATTAGGTGTTCCTGGGTGCTGTGATGGCTTCAGGTTGCACCTAGGAGTGTCGCTAGGACTGTGGAGATGAAGCTGCACACAGTGGTTGATCCCCCATTTAGAAAAAATAAATATTGTCCGCCTCTGAACTGGACCTGTTTCCATCCTCTGATAAATCCTACAGGTGAAAGACAGAAGTAGAGGGAAGCAAGATAGATTTTAAATATATAAGCAAAGCTAAAGATTGTATGAAGCAGAATAGTAGATTAAAAAGAAACACCTCAAAGACTGATTTCAAAATTAAACACTGTACCCGTAGAATGCATTTAAAAGTCCCCTTGATAGGTTTTTCTACATGAACCTGTAAATCTGCTGTGTCTTCTGTCAACGTTATCCCAGAACTGAGATCCACATGAAGAACATTTCCTTTCCTGCTTTTTTGTGACATAAATACTGAGTCACACAGTGCAATAGCTGAACCGTGCAAATACATTTCTAAAAGGTGTTTCTTCCCGTTTAACCATTCCTACTGCACTTTCCTTGCTTTAAAAAACCTATCCAAAAATGCTCTTTAGATGCAAAAATGAAACTGGAGGATCATGGGAGCAGCTAAAGATCCCATAAACAACAATGGTTAAAGCATGGCAAGCACACAATAAAAGCTTTGTACCGAATCGTGATGGTATC